GTGGACCTGTCAAGTGACACTGACAGGATTGTCGCTTTATGAAGCCTGAAAAGAAATGTAGATACCATCTGTAGTTATAATCGTACTAGATCTCGGATTTCTGGGATTTGTCCAGTTCCGATACTTGAACATAAAATACATGCATGCCTTTCAAGAGAAATGTCAACTGGGTGCTATATTATGTAAATTAGCATTTCATATGGCCACAGTGAGCATTAGAGTCTTTTAGACCCAATAAGGAGTCTGGGAAATGTCATCAGCAAGATTTCAGAGTCACCGTGTATGCTCACTGCACAATAAATGGCCTTCCGGAAAACTATTCACATATTTGACCTGCTTAGCTCATAGCTTCGAAAACCTTTCCTCAAGCCTCACAAGCGTGTGTTTTGTGGATCTACCCCCAAGGGCAAAGGTAAATTGCTAATGACCTGTCCTCCAATGCACAGAAACAACTCTGCACCAGGAACTCATTCAGGACCTGCAATATGCTATGTCTGTAGGTGACAAGTTCATACCAAAGTGTTCTAACAAGGGACAGACAAGTTAAAGTGGCCATACACTGTATGATTTGTGCTCGGAAATCCTACACGAACGGTCTTTCGAACAAACCTCAAACAATTCATGGTACACATCACCAATTTTCGGTTTTCATATTGTGACTTTTCAATCGGTCAGGTTAGAAAATTTTTCTGTAACCGAACGAAAATCAATGCATCAGTGCGTCAAAAATCATAACAAGAACACAGCACATGCGCAAAAGGAAATTTCCGTCGTTTGTCAAAAATTGGTTGGTCAGTATGGCTATGATGATTTCCGAAATCGACATTTGACTATGCTTGATGGGGTTTGAGCTATAATCGAACGAGGGTTCATGACAAAAACTTCCAACCAAAAATCTACTACCTTTAAGCGCAAGCCTTTATGCACTCTGATGTTGGCAACTCTCCTACAACACTTCCCTTAAGTAGGGTACACTGTTCAAATTTCAGCCAGTTACTGATGAAGCTGACAAAATTTGTACCGTGGGTGTCGCTGTCGGCACTCTTGCACCCACAGCATCCCTCGATCAGCTGAATGAAGGAGCTGGTTGGAAAGCTCTTGGCTGAATGGAGCTAGAAGCCAACAAGCTGCTGTCAGTAGGGGTGTAGGTAGTATGAACAAGCCCAAAAACAAATCAGAGAAATGGCCAACTAATAACAGTCCTAATATTTTCTACAATGTCTTTACTTCTCTTCTAGTCCTACAATAGGGATCCACCTGCTACATTCACATAATTTTCACCATCCTGTCACAACTATTTTAAGCTTTAAGAGTAAAGCGACCAGGAAAAGCCCAATTATAAAAAGGTCTTGGAAAGAACAATCTTCATCATTCATAAATGGAATATGAAGTATCTGCAAGAAATGCATTTACCATGGTGCAATATTTTTTCAAGTCACAGCCGACTTCCCGCTCAGTATAACTACCAACTACAGGCAGCGTCACAGCCCCTCCCAAGCCTGTAATGGCCGATAATATTCTCCCAAATACTAGGCAAAACTCAGTGGGAAAATAACCCGGTAAATGCAGAACAAGGCTATAAATTCTGTGAGCCTATGTTGAAGATGGAGGTTCATAGAATCCATTATCCCTGCCCCACCGTGGAGTTCTCCTTGAACAGCAGTAGGAAGTCTAGCTCAAAATGGGTTCTTTCCGCTAACATTACACCGTAGTCAGACTCTTCCCCTAATATTACTAATGTGACACACCCTACGGTTCCTTGGTCCAGGAAGTATTTCAAGCCCTCTCTCTCCAGGTCATCAAGTCTACAACTGTTGGCTGAGCAATTGTATAAGTCTGAATAAATACTGCTATTGCAGCATAACAGTGGGACACCAGCATGGCCAAATCAAGCATCAGCCGGGCACTTGAGGAAAAGGAGGTTACAGCATTATATAAATACATGGCATACACTGGTGGATATTCTGTAGATTGAGGAGACAGAACCTGGCAGGCAGATAGACTGATCTCTATTAGTAATGTGACCAATCCAAGCATAACTAGTACTATAGTACCTCCGTTCAGCAACAAAATTCAAGTATTTCCATAACAAATAATGAGCCCTAAATACAACCACAAGTGCTACTGTCCTTCAAGGTTCATCAATAAACTAACATATAATTACTTATCTCAGGTCCAGCATTACTTGTCTATTTAAATATACTATTTGTTCAGTTAGTGACCTCTGATCCTATCCCACCATCACAAAAATGTGCCGATATAGTGAAAGCCCCATACATCGATATTGTGCTTAAACTGGAACTGAATTCCAAAAGAGAAGATCTGCCTTGTTAGAAGGAACATTTGGAAGTATTGTGTCTGAAAAAGCTTCAGTCCTGAATTCCACCTGAACAATAACAGTGCACTTCCTGGTATGTGAAGGTGCCCCTGTGCTTGCTGTCACCTAGCTGTATATCTTCAATGTGAGATCTAAGGCACTGCTGCCTTTGACAATTAGTCTCAGGAGATTTCCAGTCATTTAGCAAAGTCCCTTCTGTGTTGCTCCTTGTTCGTTGCTCTGACATGAGGAAGCAAACTCCAGTCTCAAAGATTGTCACCAATATAGAAAAACTGTACTAAAAACAAAGCACAGCCAGTAATGGGAAAACATCAGCTGCAGGGGGTAGAGTCAATCCTGGTGACTAGTCATTTGAAATCCAGAGTTCCATCTCTTGTGAAATCCCCATCTGGACAAATACAGAAAAGGCAGATTTCTTCCTTCATCAGAATTACCAGTTGCTATGGCCAACAGTTCAAGACAGTGATCTATCATTCACCCCTATGGTACATGGCCAGCAAAAGGCGGGCCCAAGGGTAAGCCTGAAATACGTATGCCTTTAAGACAAATGTTCCGTTCAGCTTTAACAGTACTGTGCACTATCCATGAACCGTAAAATGAAAGTGGAAACAGTCATTAACAATGAAAGACGATTGGAAATGGAGTTAAGCTTGACCTCTGCGAAAGCCAAGGAAAGAATGCTGTATTTAACAATGTCCAGTAATACAGAGGAGGACAAAACCATCTGCGCTATCCTCAGGTTACATACTAGCATGCCCCTAAAGCCCAACTCCACAAATGACCCTTGCAGGACACTCCCCTCCCCGGCGATGACCAAGGCCCCATTCACACTGAGCGACATGAAAATCGCGCGATTTTGCGCGACGAGCCGAGCGATATTGAGCTACTTTTTCCTATTGGGCTGTATGCAATCAGGAGCAGAATCGCTCGAAATCCGCAGAAAAAAGGGTCATGTAGGAGCGACAAGCTACCAGCGACGAGCTACAAGCGATATTGAGCGACGAGATGTGAACAGCTCCATTGAAATGGATTGGAGAAGCTACATAGAGCGATATCGCTGCAAAAATCGCTCGATAAATCGCTCAGTGTGAACGGGGCCTAAGTCTAAGGCGTAGTACTTACCTTATTCCCTGCTCCAACACACGCCCCTATCAGTCCTCCCATACACTGCAAGGCTACTGGCCCTTCCCTGTACTTAATGTCAGCGTGGGTCACAAAGATGAAGGGTGTCTAATATTCCTCTGCCCCTTGACTTAAATTGGACCTTTACCCTCTTTCTGTAACTTTACTCCCACCCTCCCCCCATTCACACTTATATACATAAAACACTTTTTCTTGGTAGCCAACTCCACACTTCTGGATTTGTTGCCTTGGTGGGAGTGAAGTCCCTCAGCTGCCCAACCTCCGGAGATATTTCACATTACCCATCCCAAGAGGCTTTAGGGCAATGTCATTGGCGTTTAGTCAGGGGAGGTCGACTGCAGGAACCAGTAAGAGAAGACCGGCTGCCAGATGACAGCCTGAGACCAGTTGCACAACAGCAAAATGCCAGTTTACTGCAAAACAGGGGTGAGCAACTCCGGCCCCCCAGCTGTTGTGGAACTACAAGCCCCATGAGGCATTGCAAGACTGACAGTAACAGGCATGACTCCCAGAGGCATGGTGGGATTAGTAATTAAAGCACAGCTGGAGATGCTCCCCCTGCTGCAGAGCAATAATGGATTCACTGGGCGTGTACGTTTACCAAAAAATGTAGAAGGAAATAATAAATGGGGGAGAAATGACTCTTTAATGAGCATTTAACTCTTGCAGTGCCGGTGGTCCCCAATGTAAGGGTCATATTTGTAGAATTCCCAGAGATGGGCTTTAAAATGATCCTGCTTCTGGATGAAAGTGCCAGGAAATCAGCACCACGGTAGTCATGAAGTACTGCTGAGACACCAGACGTGCCCATCTGACATTTCCACACCAGGGAAGATCTCCAGCACTCCGTGACATCCGTCAGATGTTGCTCACACTGCCGCCACTCTGCAGGACGCACCCTTTCACAAGTGATTTTCCAGAAGGGGACATGGATGGATCTCCCTGCGCGCTCACCGACCGGTCTAACGAGAATGAATGAAATCAGGGGCCCATGGCACTGGGCGGAGCTTCCCACACAGCAGGCCCACCCCCTGGTCACCATGACAAGGCCAAGACTGGGGAAACTCCCATTTATGGCTCCAGTGACCCCAAGATCAGGGGACAGGGCGACACCTCTGCATCATACACAGGGCCAAAGGGAATGAATAAAAAAACGTTATGTGATGTACGTAACGGTGGAGCACATCAGCAGCAATAAGACAAAGGAGGGGAGCGCACACAATGACTGGGCATCGGATGATATAAAAGGCTTTCACAGCAGTCATCATCCTGCAGATACTGAGCGAGCACGAGGCTCGGGCACCAAGGCATGCTGGGATTTGTAGTCCCACAGGCTGCTGTGCGGGGAGGTCACAGCCCAGTACAGGCAGTGTCACAGG